CACCCTTTCAGCGTCTCCGTAGGAACAGCTGTGAATCGTCCGAAGTAGTGACGGTATTCCGTCCGACACAGGTTCACCTCACGAGTGGACTTCACATGAGTGGAGTCCTTCAGCAGTTCCACTCAGAGGTGGAAGATGTCATAATCCCATAAGACTCGGAAGAGCTTTGGATCATGCCTGAACTTCTGTTCTCCCAGTACTGGAGCTGCAAACGACTGAAGCCGGAGCCTGAAGCGACTCTCCACCCGACTCGACTGGTTTGAACTAGGAAGTACCGACATTTAAAGAGCTCTATTTCCGGTTCATTTGGGAGGTTCCTGATTGGTCAATATCGACCAGACAGGGGTGTGTTTTTGTGACGTAAGAGGTCACTAGTAGTCAGAAAAACAGAAAGTGTTTTGGAACAGATTGAAAATGTTTTTAGAGACAGAGAGAGAAATGTTTGGACGAGTTGGGTGAAAACAGGTGCCAGCTTCTCTATTTACATCTGAGAGGATTTAAAAACATGACAGTTCGTTCCAACAACTTGTTTTGCGTTTGACTCCAACCTTGGACCAACTTACACTTGCTCATTCAAAGACAGAAAATCAGAAAATGCATAATTACTCTGTAACAGACCTTAACATGATTTCTACTTTGCATGAGGATTAAAATCAGTATTACTGTTTCACAGTTGAATTAAAAATGATTAGTTCACTGCAACATCTAAAAATGGTTTGAACTAAAAACACTTTGATTATCAAACATTTGTAAAATAGTAATGATAATAGAAAAGAGAGTGTTCTTTCAATTGATCAGTGCAGGACACTTAAAAAGTCTTCTGGATGGACTTGATTTGTGTTTCTGGACTCAAATCAATGAAATACAGTTCTTGTTCCAGGAAGGCCCCTCAAGGCCAGATTTGACCTGAAGCCTAGTTCACTACACTGTTGTGTGGTATTTTGCCAACTTTCTGTTGGACTGGCTCCTCATGGGTGTTTGCAGTTGGTCGTGGGGGGGAAGTGTCCTCGAATAGGACCAGAACCGAGCCGGGCTGTGGGGGAACTTGCCCCAAACAGAGACAGTCTCAGGGGTCCGTTACCCTTCATCAAAGGAACGTCCACCTCGTAGGATTTGCTGTTGGCCGCGGAACAGCCTAAAGAAACCGGACCAGAACAGAACCGAGCCAAGGACGGCTCCAGCTTCTCCGATCAGTTCTCAGCATTGTTCGACTGGAGGAAGCCTCTCGTGCTGTTAAGTGCCGAGGAGAAGCTGCTCGAGAGAAGCCCGGGGTTCTGCATCAGAGTTCTGCTGGTCTTCCATCTAAACTCACCTGGATAAATTGGATCTGTGCAGGTCCACTAGTTCAAAACTGGTCAGCTTAAGGTTTTATTCTGGATCACGCTGTTGTCCTCTGTTGATATGAACTGAGCTAGGACCATGCCTTTCATTTCGGGAAGTTTTTCCTGACAGCTTGCTTTCTGGCAGGCCGCTCTATTTGTTGCAAATCATTTGTTTCTGCCTGTTGGTTCTGGACCCAGCTTATGTTCTTCATGGGAGCAGCCGGACCGATCCATCATCACAGGGAAGCTGGACCCCCCCTAAGCCAAACTCAAACTGCAGTTGGACCACCACGTCAGATTTGGTTGCCCATATGATCTGCAATGCTGTATGGTCTGTCTTTTCTGCACCATTCATATTATTGCCATCATTTTCAGATCTCTGACTATCTGGAGTCACTGAATCGTGTTAATACATTTGGATGTGCCCCTCACTGCAATTTTCACTGTTTTTGGGTTCTGAATGATCATGTCTTCATTAACGTTCTTCAAGGTTCGATTATGGGGGCTAATTGTCACACTATTAACTCTTGTAATTATGCATCAGTCACGAAAAACACAACAAAATGTCTTATTATAATGTTGTTACTGCTCTCAGGGATCCAGCCCAACCCTAAACCCCCCACTCATTACAACACACCAAATAATTTTAAAAACATGTCAGGACTTCATTTTCTGCATGTAAATGTACGTAGTCTTCTGAGAAAACTTGATGTCTTGAAAATTCTGGTCTGCTCTTCTGGGGTTGATGTAATATTCATCTTTGAAACCTGGCTCAACAAATCTGTCTTGGACAATGACCTGGCAATTGACGGATTTAATATCTACCACTGTGATCGTCAAAAAAAGGGAGAGGTAGAGTTGCTATTTATATCACAGCAACCCTGGATTCTAATCTTGTGTCAGCTATAACTATCCCAAACCAGTTTGAGGCCTTAGTTGTAAACGTCACTTTGAATAGAAGCCAGATCTTATCTGTAGCAGGTTGGTAGAGTCCCCCCCCCCCCCCTTCAGCAACACCTGAGGCTCTGTCCTCCCTGACAGACTTCCTAGTTAATTTACAACTCAGAGATTTTTCTTGCAGGAGATTTCAACATCGACTGTGATAAGTCGACCCCCCTCTGTGATAAATTCAAGGAATTTTGCTTGTCACTTAACCTGACACAACTCACTGATTCCCCCACCAGACCAAACAAGAACTGTCCTGAAAAATCTTCCATCTTAGACCTGTTTCTAACAAATAGGCCTCACAAATTCCCTTGTACAGATGTATTCACTGATATTTTGAGCGATCAGTGTGTAATGTCGGATCTGAGACACATTAAACTTCCACTTTCTAAGCCCAGATTAATTCAAAAAAGGGATTTGAAGTGTTTTTGTGAACAATCATGTTAGGCTGATGGTCCTCCTTGATCATGTGAACAGCTGGTTCTGAATGTCAGCAGCAAACTGGTTGATCCACTATGAGAAGGTGATATTTATAAGACTGAGTTGAACACAACTCCTCAGACTGAAGTAGTCTTTCGGATGAAAAATTAAACGTTTCTACAGTTTTATTTTTTTGTTGTTGTTTGTTTGTTTGTTTTTTTGAACATCCAGAGGACCAGACTTAACTTTTTTAGATTTTTCTACGTGGATTATTGAGCATGCATCAGGATACTGAATTGAATAAACAAGGTTTTAGAAAAGACCCTGACCTGAGAAGCTGCCCTCTTGGTAAACTGTTCCAGTTCTGCCTGTAGTGTCCTCTGTTGCTCCTCGTATAACACCAGCTTCGCCTCCAGCACTTCTAGCAGAAAACAGAATGTTTATTTACTTATTAAAGTATAATAAGTCTTGTTGGTGTTCTTTTAACACTTTAGGTTTGAGTTTAGTACCACTCTTTGCTTTCCACTCCTCATACTGCTCAGCTTTCCACAGGTTTTCCGCCCTCTCCTCTTCCAGTGCTGTGATTTGACTTCTCAACGCCGTCAGGTCTGGAGGAGCAGCTCCAGCCTTAAATAAAGTAGAGAAAGGAAGGGATTTTTTTTATACGATGCATTTTTTTTTCAAATGATCTTAAAGAGAAATTTAATGTGTTTACTTATGTCATTTACTTTGGTAGTAAACTGAAAAGATAAAAGACTATAAGTCAGAGTCAGAGTTTCTTTATTGTCATTCGCACCTCATGTGGTACATGTGGTGGAGCGAAATTATGTACACGGGGTCCCAGTTACATCCAACAATAAAAATGTCTAAGAAAAACAGTAATAACATCTAAGATATGAACTAAGAAAAACATCAACTAAATATACACTAAGCACTCATAACATAAAACATTGAACATCACCACAAACATGAACATGAGTCTGTGAGCAGATGTGCACGCATGAACACATCAACATTGAAACAGATCAGCAGCAACATGAAACAGATCAGCAGCAACATGA